TAGTTGATGGAAAAAACCTGGAGATCCTAAGGGTTTAGCAGCAGATCAGATGGCAAAACACAAGAATCCTTTGATTGCATTGGCAGATGAAATAACCATGTGAGAGATCAGGATGGCAATGATGAGGCCTGCCATTCATCCCACGGAAATGTCCTCGACCTCATTGGAAGGGTCTCCATCTCATTTTCATCTCATCCACGTGATATACGTTCCACGTGGCCCAGAGAAATGAAGAAAAGGCAAGAGATGAAAGGTGCAGTTTTCAAGTCTAACATTTCTATCAAATATTCCAAATTCATCAAATGGCCCTATGAGACCCATGATTATAATAGGTACTAAGAAGTAGTAACAATGTCTAAGATTTTAAGTCTAAGTTTTCAGGTAAAAATACTAAATTACTTAAGATCCTGAACTGTTAAAATGTAGCCAGGGCCCTGTGAGTACTTTCCCTGCCCATCTCATTTGGGAGCATATGTAGTAGCCATTCATGGTGCCATAGCAGGCCTGGTGATCACATAGAAACTTGAGTTTGCACAGATGTCCTCCACCTACTTCCAACTATGCATGAACCATACATAACAGTGTTGAATCCTCCCCATTGGTTACTGATAAAGAACCTCCTTACCTAAGGGTTAAACTCCTTCCCTTCAGTGTTTCTCTTTCTTTTCAGCTTCAAACCTTGAGGAACTGTGCTGGGGCCAGTTGGGTAAGGAAATGGTAGAAGCCTTAGCTCACAAGGCCTCATGCAATCATAAGTACATATCCGTCCCAGGCTAGCTTGGGCCTGGGATGGGGCCACCACCCTTTTCTTGAATTTCCTTCTAACAGGTAACTGAGCAACAACTTTGAGATAGATGAGCCCAAAAACAGATGGCTTTGTGAATTTCAGAAAATCATGAGGAAGGCCTAGGTGGCCAATCAAGAAGTGGCCGCAGCATCCAATGGACTGATGGGTTACAGTATCGGCAGCACAAGCACTGACAGCAAAGAGAAGAGCTGGCATCAGAAAGGGAGGTGGGGCACGAGAAAGGAAGAACAGGTTTCTGCTCTTTAATCGGATTATGTTCACTAGAGGTGAAAAGGTTAATTAGAAGAATTATCAAATTGCATTTGTCTTGTTGAAGTTAACTACCAGACTTCCAGCAGAAAGTAACTTGGCTATAAATCAGATCTGTGAAACCTGTTTAAATCATTTTGTTAATACATAAAGATGTGATTCTTTCATGCTTATCATTGCTTTATGTGTATGAATAAAATGACCTGTCCTATACCCCATTCATATGATGCATTGGGTACTTTTTATGACTCTCTTCCCATCCCCCACCCACTGCTTTTCTAGGAAAACCCAGGCCTAGAGCCATAATTAGAGTCGTCCCCAGAGAAGCTGGGTGAAGGTGATGAGCCAATGAATGTGAAAATTGAAGAGCTCAATCTCCTGAGAATTGGCCAAGTTCTCCTAGCAATGAACCCATAATCAGCACTTAATAAATTTTGTCTGTCAAAAGAAGAAAAGGTAGGAAGGAAGGAAGGAAGGAAGGAAGGAAGGAAGGAAGGAAGGAAGGAAGGAGAGAAAAAGGAGGGAAGGAAGGAAGGAAAGAAGGAAGGAGGAAAGATTAAATGTTTCTGCTCAGGATATGCATCTCATTTTGTCTACAGGTATGTTCTATTTTTGTCATAGGAGCTAGAAGCAACCAGAGTTAGGAATCACAGGGGCTCAGGATACAAGAGCAGGGAGGAATAGGGACCTATCTGAACCCATGTGATTCCTAGAAGTGGTTGCTTCTAGCTTCTATGGTAAAGATAGAACATACTTGTTTGAAAATGATATGCATATGTTGAAACACAAGAGCAAAAATGTTTAGTCTTCCCTCCTTCCTTGCTTATTTCTTTTCCTTCCTTCCTTCCTTTCTTCCTTCCTTTTGTTCTCTTGACAGATAGCATTTATTAAGTGCTTATTATGTGCCAGGAACTGTGCTAAGACCTAGGAATATAGATACAAGTAAGCAAAACAGTTCCTGCCTCCAAGGACAGGGGAAATACAACACATAAAGGGAAACTGAAAAGGAGTCAAGGGGTATTGAGGGTGTTTGGTGGAGAGATATCCTGAAAGTGTTGTAGAAGCCTGGTTTAGGGCAAGATAAGGAGAAAGTTCATCTATCAGAACAAATGACCAACTGATTTTTGTATTCCCTGGGCATTAGCTGACAATCAAAAGGAATTTATTGAGTATCTCTAGGTATCCTGTCTTGTATTCAGTGCTGTCAGAGATGTAAACATATAAACCTTGTCCCTCCCCTCCAAGAGCTTAAAATATAGTTGGGGAGCTAGAAACCATGAAACCATAGCTAGCAAAGCAAGACATGGCATAAGTCCATAACTGAGGGATTTGCTTCAGAGTCTGAGTGTTATAGAGACAAGGAGTTATAGAATGTTCAGAGATGAGGAAGAAAATTGAAAACTGGAGTGATCAGGAAAGGTTTCCTGTAGGGAGTCATGATCATTTGATGCAAGTCCAATAAAGAGCCACTAGTTGACTTCTGCCTGGCGAAGAGGTCTAGAGGTATGGAGGTGCTCCTGGGAACCCCTGAGATGGCCCTGTCTGAAAGAATTCAACTCAAATCTTCTTCCAGCCAGAGGAGAAGTTTTATCAGTGATAAAATACATAGGCCAGGTGATGGCCTGTAAGGACTAACAGGCATGAGAAAAGCTCAGCCTTTGGGGCATGAGATTCTCAGGTATTAGCTGAATGGTTAGTAACCCTGTGGGGAGAAGTGGGCATTAGAAAGTCTCAGCCTTTTGAGCATGAGATTCTCAGCATCTGAACGGGGGCCAGGGTGGATCTTTTATACAATAAAATCACTTTGGGTGGCCAGAGGAGGGGGCTGGGAAAAGGGTCTAGGTAAGAATTCTGATTGGGAGGTCTGAGTGATTGAATAGGAGTAAGGTTAAAAGGTGGGGCTAGGGCTTTCAAAGGGAGATAAGGAGCTGGGGTCTGTAGACAAATGGGAGCCAGATTCCCTTTGGATCAAGGGGGAAGATCTCTGCTTAAGCTCACCCCTTCACTGGTATTGGCAATATTCGGTATTATTAAGGAAAAAGAAAACAGCTGTGAACCAGAATTCAATTCACTTCAAAAATCTATTAAGTGCCCTATAATATGCAATGCCCTAGGTACACAAAAACCAACAGTTCCTGTTCCTCAAAGAGCTCTGGGGGAGGGGCTAGGGAAGGAGATGGGATATAATAGACAGAATTATACAAAATAATTTTGAGAAGGGAGTCCTAACTGAGAGAACTGGGAAGAACCTTGTGGAAGGGGTGATGATGATTTGTAGTTTCATGTGCAGTCATCTTTTTTTATTATGCTATGTTATGGAAATGCTTGTTTTATTCCATAAGGTAAAAATAAATAAATAGATGGATAGATAAATAAACAAACAAACAAATAAATGAATGAATGAATAAATGAATAAATTTAAGAGAGTAATCCTGACAAGACAGACCACCTACGCAAAAACAAGGAGGGTGGAGATGGGAGGTTGTAGGAAAAGACTTAGCAAAATTATTTGATTACAAAGTAGATTGCAAAAGGAGGGATTAAAAAGATACAGTGGGATAGGTAAGAATCCAATTGTAGAGGGCTTTAAATGCGAGGCTAAGGATTTTGTATGGGAATTGCAAAACCTTTGATCTTGAAATCAGGCCCCTTACCTTCCTTAAAGGTATCAACTAATCCAGGGGTGGGGAACCTGTGGCCTAGAGGCCACATGTGGCCCTCTAGTCCCTCAAGTGTGGCCCTTTGATTGAATCTAAACTTCACAGAACAAAGTTCAAGGCTGCAGGTTCCCCACCCCTCAGCCTATAGCCATACTTGGGTTTGAATGACTTTCTCTAATGTACTTTTGCAAACAATCATACTCCAAACACCACTGGGAGTCTGGCCTAGCCAGAACAATTTCCTGTCATATAAATATAAAGAATAGGGTCAGAGTAGCCAAATTAGTTCGTTGAAGCCAAAAACTGAATTGTTAGACAAAAGGTAAACCAATGATTGACTCATGAATTTCTGAGTGTTGACACAGCCTTATCCCATGACTTTCAAGTATTTCCATTGAGGAGAAGCAATATCAGTTCTCCTCTGCTTTTAATTCTCTCCTCTTTACCATCCCATACCCAGAATCCAGTAGTCTTTTTTACTTCAGGAAAGAGAAGGAAAAACAAAATAAAACTTCTGAAAAAGTCTAGCGAGTCAAACAATGGTTAGGAAATAACTCAGTTCAGGTTCATAGAATTGTATGAGTATGGAGGCGTCATTGATTAGAATATAATGTTGATTTCTAGGTGTTTGTGTCTGATAAATTTATTTATGTCTGGTAAAATAATTTTAAATCAAAGTTCCATTCTTTTCAATATAGAGCATAATTAAATTTAGCATTTATCAAACAGACCTATATAGAGCAAAGCTCCTAAAAATTAATACCAGGACATAATGTGTATCTGTGTGTGTGTGTATTGTTGTTTGTCCTTCATTCTCAAAGAGGACCATGACATCAGGAAGGTGATACCATGACTTGCAAATGAATTAGATTTAAGTGAGAGAGAGCTGTGCAAAGTCATCAGCCTCACTGTCTCTTCTGGAGCCATGTGGGTCCAGTGGCAAGATATAGATCAGGACACTTGGAGCTGGCCCCAGATGCAGCTATATGTATATATGCATGTGTATAAATATACACATATACACACATATATACTTGCCAAAAAATATATATACAAATTTAGATACATTAATGCATTTCCCTCCCAAAAAAAAAAATCTCTGTATGTATCTTATAACAGTTTAATGGAAGGAATTCTATGACTCCTGTCAATGGTTCTTTTTATTTGAGCAATATTCAGTACAATGAAATAGTAATCAAGTGTGTCAACTTCCAGAGTTTGGTCTAAGAAAGACAAACAGAATTAGGTTACATCATGTTTATTTTCTCTCAAAGCAGCTGGCATGTGTGGGGCTACAATTGGAACAGAGCTCACTTTGGAGTTACACTGAATAGCTATAAAGACAAAGAGAAAGGGTAAAGCCATGTCATGGCCCAATCAGGTACTGCCACAGTCCTTTGGGTTCAGTTTCCATTTCTCAGGGAAGGGTCATTTCACAGAGGAACAAAGAAGAGGGTCAAGCTGAGAAGTCCCCAAGGTTCCAGAACTAGGATGCTTGTGCTAGTTCTGTCTGTTAGAGCTGGTATGAACCAGCTTAAGTCAGTTCTGTGGTCACCAGCACAGCAGAGGGATTCAGCAAGTGTACACAGCAAAGGATCTCTGGTATGTCCAACTTAAGGGATACTCAGTCAGCTTCCTGATTGGCTGGTCAGTCCAGCCTCCTCTGGATAGTAAGGAAGTTCAAGCAAGTCAATATGGTTAGTAAAGTAATTTTTCATAGGTGAAATAATCTATGCAGCTCTTTGGAAGCTGTTATGGGATGTGACTTGTCTTGTGAGTTAGAAGTAACTGGAGAAGAGAAGACTTAGAGGGGACATGGCAATAATCTTCTGATATTTGAAGAGTCACTATGTGCTTGAGCCATCAGATGATCACTGCTAGGCACTGGAGAGCAAAGTAAGGACCAATGGAAAGAAGTTATAGGGAGTAAGATTTCAAACTAATTTAAGGGGGGAAAATTGCTTAACTCTTAGTGCTGTTCAAAAGTGGAATAGAAGGCAGAGACATGGGAGCAGGTAAGGGATGCGGAGTGAACTTATGATAAATGGAGATCTTCTGGTACTGCGTAGATGAACATTGGTTCTGGATGTTGGAGATAAGATTCATGATTAGGATAGAAGTTGAACTAAATAATCTCCAAGGTCCCTTCCAATTGTCATTCGTTCATTCATTCTACAATCATTTAGTAGGTTTCCGATCACATGCCAGGCTTTAGGAATACAAAGAAGAAAACAAAAAAGTTTTTACCCTCGAATACCATATGTTTTCTGGGGAAGAAACAACAAAAACACAGATAAGTAAATGTGTACTATAACTATACGGGTGTAGCTATAGCTATAGACATAGATATATACACATATAGATATAGGTACCTGTTTCCCCAACTCCTTCCTCCTTGTTTATATAGATGTCTGTTTCAGTACCCTGACTGAGATTTTTCCCAAGCTTCTTTTCCCTTCTCTCCCTCAGTATATTCCTCTTCCCTACTCTATCCACTCTTTTAAAAAAAATCATCAGGATACAACAAAACCACTCCTAGGCCTTGTCCAGCCTTGGACTCCCTCTATACAATACAATAGTCAATAACCATTTATTAAGTACCTACTATATGCTGTGTTAAACTCTGGAGATGTAAATATGAAAAGTAGTAGGGGAAGGTATCATAGGGCCTGGTAAAGTCAGAGAAGTCCACAAAGTAGTGAGGCCAGGTAAGAAATGAAGAGATGTTCTGAGCTGAGCTCCCTCTATAAATGAAGGGTTTAGAGTTCAAGGCCCCAACCTCCGATCAGAGAGGTGGGAGGTAGTGATGAGATAGAGTGGCAAGGCTGATGTGATCTTATGGGATGATGAAGTTATACAACAATGAACTTCTTGGGGCATGATGAAGAAGTCAGAGGAGTTCAGTACAATATGATAAAAGACAGCACAATACAATACACAATTGTTAAGCACTTAACATGTGCCAGGCACTGTGCTACATTCTCATGATACAAATAATGAAAATAAGTCTCTACCCTCAAGGACCTGAGAAGACAACATGCAAAGAGAACCTGAAAAGGAGAGGTGGTGTGTGATGGTGCTTTATGTAGCAGCATGATGATGTTGGAGTCAAAACCAAGTTGTACAGCAGGTGGGAAATGAAGAGTTGTCTGGGCTTCTGAGCCCAAAAGGGGTTCAGAATGGGGCTTTGGGAGGAACATTTTACATTTCCCTCTAAGCAGAGATGCAGAAGAAACTAGGGGATACCCACACACACACACAAACACACACACACACACACACACACACACACACACATTAGGCAGTTGGGTAGTACATGGATACAGTGCTGAGTCTGAAGTCAGGAATTCAAATCAACCCTCATACACATACTAGCTGTGTAACCTTGGGCAAGTCACTTAACCTCGGTTTGCCTCAGTTTTCTCAACTGTAAAATGGGGGGTCATAATAGTATAATAGGACCTGCCTTACAGGATTGTTGTAAAAATCAAATGAGATAATTTTTGTAAAGTGCTTAGCACAGTGCCTGGCACATCATAGGTGCTATATAAATATGCTAGATATTATTATTATCACCCACACATCACCGTACATATTATCACCATCTATGCATATATATATATACACACATATACATACATGCACATATAAATACATATATGTATATATATAAAAATAACCCCCTCTAGGGCTACTCCCTCAACTCACACTCACATTCATATATTGAGGTCCTACTTACTATTATTTGCCCCAAGGTTCTTGCAGAGGGGGAGAACCTGCAGCCTCAAGGCCACACATGGCCCTCTACATCCTCAAGTGTGGCCCTTTGACTGAATCCAAACTTCGCAGAACAAATGCCCTGAATAAAAGGATTTATTCTGTAAAACTTGGACTCAGCCAAAAGGCTGCAGCCAAGCTAGAAGGCCACATGTGGCCTCAAGGCCTCAGGTTCCCACCCCTGTGGGCATAAACCTGAGAGTCTGAATTTACAGCATGACTGTCCAAAAGCCCCTAAAAGTATGCTTCCCATCAACAATCAATCAGATAGCTTTAATTAGCTATTAGAAAAGGTATTTACTAAGATGGTATGATAAGAATAACTGGTCAAATCTCTCTCCCAAAGGCCTGGGGCATACTCTTCCACAAGTACACAATGTCCAGGAAAATATGGGTTCAAACCTGTAGTGAGATGGTAATTATAGATAGCTAGGTAGCTTAATGGCTAGAGAACTGAATCTGACTCAGGCCAGTAAGACAGGAGTATGAATCTTGCATCAGACATTTACTAGTTGTAGGACCCATGATAATTCACTTCAACCCTCTGGGTCTCAGCTTCTTCACCTACTTTACAGGGCTGTTGTAAGAATCAAAATGAATTTTTTTTAAGTAGCAAAACTTAACATTCTATAAATGCTAGTCATTATTATAGCGAGGTACACGTGTAGAGAACAAAAGAGGACAGATGGAAAATTAACAATTCTTGGTGACCAGGATTCCTTCACTTCTAGAGAGCCCTCATGAAGTCTGCTGCCTGGTGCTGTGTTAGTGATAAATGAGTTCTTTGTAAGGATGAGGTATTGATGCTGGGATAAACTGACCCATCTCTGATCATGACTATCGACCTGCTGCTGTACTGGGCTACTCCTCTGCAGCCCAGAGTGATGCCATATCTGCACTGCTGCTGCTACTACCCTCCCCATTGTCCCACCCTGACTTCTGCTAAAGTGCCAGGGGAGAAGATATCAACTGTCACCTTGAAATATTTCCTGACAATTCAATGCTTGCAAGTTGGCCTCCTTGGACATGTCTGTCTCAAGGTAACTGCTCAAGCATGTCCTGACTCTGTGTGCTATTGCTATGAGCTCCGGAGGGCTCTGCTACTGATTCTAGTCATTGTTGAGAATTCTGATGGGACTGCAGGATCTCTTCAACTCACAGAGTGCCTGGGATTTGGAGAAGAGAAAAATAAATACTCTTCTCTTCTCAAGTGATTCCCTCTTAAGGACTTGGCTAAAACTCCTCCACTAGTAACCTGGCCTGCTAGTGGATTCCATGACTCCGAAATGACATGCTATTTTATTCATAAGCTCAGACATATTTCTGATCCTTTTAGCCAGTCACAGGACATCTCCTGTACAGCTTCATCTACTTTTGTACAATGGCCCAAAGTTTCATGGTCCTTTCAAATTGCTTAAAGGGATGTCCACATATTCTGATGAGGTTACATGAAAATTCATTAGCATCTGGCTTATTCTCTTGATTGACTGATTTCATTAAGTTGTTCATGCCTTCTAAGGTTAATTGGAATGCACATGCAAAGTCAATACAAAGTCATTTGATGGTGGGAGAGGGCCCTAGCAGTTGGCGGCTGGGATAGGATCAGGCTAGATCTCATGTAGGAGGCCTCCTGTAGGAGATGGCGCTCGAACTGAGCCTTTAAGGAAACCAGGAATTTCATTTCAGACATGCGAAACAGTGTGGGCAAAGGTATAAAGGTGAAGGATAGGAAGTAGACCAGTTTGGCTGGAATATAAAATTATGAAGGAGAGTAGTATATAAAAAGCCTGGCCTTTAAGTGCCAAACTTAGAAGTTTATATCTTATCCTAGAAGAAAGTGGGATCCAGTGGAGCTTCTTGAGCAGGGGAATAACATGGGCTTAAGTTATATCACTCTGACAGTTGACTTGAAGACAGGAAAGCCTGGATTCAGGGAGGACAATTGGGAGGTTATTGCAATAGTATTGGAAAGGATATCGGGCAGTTAGGGGGCAAGGTAGATGGAGCACTCAGCTTGGAATCAGGAAAACTCATCTTCATGAATTCAAATCCAGCCTCAGACACTAGCTGTGTGACCCTGGGCAAGTCACTTAACCCAGTTTGTTTTAGTTCCTCTTCTGTAAAATGAGCTGGAGAAGGAAATGGCAAACTATTCCAGTATCTCTGCCAAGAAAACCCCAAATAGGGTCACAGAGAGTCAGACATGACTGAAAAATGACTTAACAATAACAAATTGGAAAGAGGTGATGGAGGCTTTAACTAAGGTGGAAACTTTGAGTGGAGAAAATAAAGATGGGAGATATATTGTGGAAATGGAATTGATAAGACTTGGAGATTTATTGCGTATAGAGGGAAGAGTTGAGGACGACTCCTACACTGCTAACCTAGGTGATAGTACCAACCTAAAAGGATTAGGAGGGATGGCAACAGCAATAAGGAAATTAGGAAGAGGGTAGGATTTGTAAAGCAGATAATGAATTTGTGTTAAACACATTGACTTTAGGATGTCTACAAGACATCCATTTAGAGATATCAGACAATGCGGAGCTGGTGATTCAGAACTGAAGATGAGGAGAAGGATCAGGACTAAGATTTATTCTACGATTCTGTATCTCCAGATTATAGGATCATAGATTCAGCACTGAAAAGGACCTTAGAGATCAGCTCCTTCATTTTGTAGTTGAGGAAATAAAGCCTCAGATTCGTTCACACAAGTTCACAAGATCATACAAGTAATAAGTAGTAGGCAGGATTAGGACTCAAACTCCAAATCTAGTGGGGGGGGGTTCAGTAAAAACCAATACATCTTTGTTGACATCGCTTTTATTTTAACAAAAATAATTTATTCCTCTTTAATTGAGTATAACCTATGTCTTAGATACCTAGGCAACCCCAGAGTTCAGCTAGCAAGGAATGTCTCAAAAACAACAGAATTTCTATGTTGAGATAGTTTCCTCATGGTTGTAGCAAAACAGCTAATGGGCCCTATGAGAATTTCATGCATAGGCAAAGTTCCAAATCAACAATTCTGGCACAGGGCTGTAGTTAGGGTAGTGGCAAAGCTGTAACTTGGACACACTAATACTAATTGTCCATATCATGGAAGCATTGGGGAAATCCAAGAGATAAAAGGTCAAATGCTCAAGCTGGACAGAAAGAGGAAAGGGTAGAGAGAGAAATGCAGAGTTACTCTGGAATCTTTTGCCTTTTCCTCTCCACTCTGAAATAGAAAAGGCCTTCTCCCTATCATTCTCAGGTGTTTCCTTTACACTCTACCCTACCCCATTTTTAAAAGTTACTAATTTCCAAATGCTAAGAAGATGGTGGTACCTAAGGTTGTGAGCTGATGCAATTACATACGTGTGTGTGTGTGTGTGTGTGTGTGTGTGTGTGTGTGTGTGTGTGTACAATTATCCAGTAAAATAAACAAACAAAAAATAACCCAGATCAGTGAGGTAAATGGACTGGCCACAAAGTAAACAGGGATACCTCTCTGTGAAGGCACAAGGAGAAAGCAATTTTTATTTTTATGCCTCAATTTCTCCATCTATGAAATAGAAAAAATAACTCTGGTCTATGCTATATGGGTAGGGCATAAATCCATTGAGGATAGTATTTCCACAGATAGAATAATTTATATTACTGAGACAAGATAATTTATAATTGGTTTTGTTTTCACCATGGCTCAGATTGGTTGAATTGCATATTGATATCAGTTGCTAGAGTTTTATAGTTATAGAGTATTGAGCGAGTGACACAATGGTAGGTGGGATGATCATATTCTGGTCCCCCATGGCATATTAGCATTAGACTTGTGATAGTAATCATTCAGGTGGCACTGACCCAAGGAACTTTTAGTTAGCATCTCTGCTCATTGAGGAAACCTTCAAAGACAAGTAGTTGCATAAGCCAGATGTTACACAGTGGAATCAAGAGGGGACCCAGGAAATGAGATTCTGTCTTCTTGTTTTCCCATACAAGTGCAATCAGAAAAATCATTGAACTTATCGCGAACTCTCCAGTTTCCATGTGGCCACCTATTTTGAGTTTAGGCTTCCCATCACTGTAAATCCCATTCTGTGAGGAGGAATTGGGACACTTATAATCAGATAATCACTTTCTGTATTCTGCTTCCTGTGTTGCTAGAATGTCGCAGCTAGGAGAACCACACTCTAACATCATTCATTCACTCATTTGTTTATTTATTTATTATTTTATCTATCTATTTTGCTTTAAGGGAGTTTGAACTAGGAAGTGACTGGAATGTTGTGTTCTGCAATGCACCTGTCTATATCTTTTATGTTTTATTATGCTTTTATGTATCTAACTGAACTGTTTGCTCAGTTGTGACCCCTGGAACTGAGTGAATGTTAATAGGTCTAAGTCTATAAAAATAGAGCCAGCCAATAAGATGAGGGTAATGAGACAATGAATGATGAGTAATTTCAGATAATTTTTCTGAGAGTATACTAAAGATATAACAGTAAAGAGTGAAGTGCTGGGTGCTTGTCAGTCATCATCTTCTCCATGCTTCTGACTACTGATAGCATAATCTATTTCACATGGATGTTGTGAAAAATAAAAAAAATTATCATGAAAAGTATGGATACCTTTCCCATAATGAGAGAAATAAGGCTTGTATGGTTCATAAAGCCAAGCTATCACGTTTGTTCTCAGGTCTTATTAATCTATAGGTCTTCCACACATGCTTCAAAACATCTGCTGACATTGTTTCAATGAAGTAAAACTTGTTGATCAACTTAAAAAGTAAATGACTCAGGTCTGAGCCAAGACGGCGGAGTAAAAACAGGGACTTGCTTGAGCTCTCCCCCAAACCCTTACAAATACCTGTAAAAATTACTCTAAACAAATTCTAGAGCAGCAGAACCCACAAAAAGACAGAGTGAAACAAATCTCCAGCCCAAGACAACCTGGATGGTCAATGGGAAAGGTCTATTGCACTGGGCTGGGAAAGGAATACAGTTCAATGTAGGCCACATGGGCACAGACCTGGCCCCAGCAAATTGGTAGCAGGTCTCAGGGGACTGAATCATGGGCAGTTATGGTGGTTTTCAGACTTCTCAAACCACAAATGCCAAAGACAACTTAGAAGGTCAGTGGGAAAGGTCTGTTGGACCTGGGTGAGAGAGGAGCACAGTGCAGCCCCAGGTTGGGGCTGGGGGGAGTAGCAGTGGCTGTGGTAGCAGTAGTAGCTGCTTCCAGAGCTCTCAGTCCACAGATGGTTATGGGGATTGAACAACTGATCAGAAGATTACATGTATCTCTTTGCTGGCACTGAGGCAGGATCCTGTTGCTTTGCCCAAACTTGGATCTGGGTTGTAGTCCTGGGTGGTAGTCCAGGGGCAAGGAGGAGCACTAGCATAGCAGAGCTTGTGGCAGCAGTGGAGAGGGAACCTCCCTCACAGTTCCAGGCAGAAAAGAATGCTTGTGGTCACTCATAGACCAGAGAACAGGTCAGGACAGGAGTAAATACCTCTCCTTAGATCGTACCACCTTGGAAGAACTGAAAACTTACAGGTCCCTAGAAGTATTTCTGAAAATAGCTGCACAAAATCCCTGAAGCTTGGGACAGGAGATCCTCCACACTGGAAGCAGACTCCTAACTTAATAAAGGGTTAAAAAGTCAAGTAATTGACTAGCAAAATGAGCAAACAGCAGAAAAAATTCAGACTATAGAATCTTACTTTGGTGATAAGGAAGATCAAAACATGCAATCAGAAGACAATAAAGTCAAAGCTCCTACAAAGCCTCCAAGAAAAATATGAATTGGTCTCAGGCCATGGAAAAACTCAAAAAGGAAAGAGAAATGAGAATGATGCAAGAAAATCATGAAAAACAAGTCAACAGCTTGCTGAAGGAGACCTCGAAAAAAAAATGGAAAAAAATAACACCTGAAAAAATAGACTGGATCAAATGACAAAAGAGGTCCAAAAAGCCAATGAGGAGAAGTATGCCTTAAAAAGAATAATTGGCCAAATAGAAAAGGAGGTCCAAAAGCTCACTGAAGCAAATAATTCCTTAAAAATTTGAATGAAGCAAATGGGAGCTAATGACTCTATGAGAAATCAAGAAATTATAAAACAAAGGCAGAAGAATGAAAAAATAGAAGACAATGTGAAATATCTCATTGGAAAAACAACTGACCTGCCAAATAAATCTAGGAGAGATAATTTTAAAATTATTGGACTACATGAAAGCCATGATCAAAAAAAGAGCCTAGACATCATCTTTCAAGAAATTATCAAAGAAAACTACCCTGATATTCTAGGACCAGAAGGTAAAGTAGAAATTGAAAGAATCCACTGATTACCTCCTAAAAGAGATCCCAAAAAGAAAACTCCCAGTAATATTATAGCCAAATTCCAGAGTTCCCAGGTCAAGGAGAAAATATTGCATGTAGCCAAAAAGAAACAATTTAAGTATTGTGGAAACACAATCAGAATAACACAAAATTTAGCAGCTTCTACATTAAGGGATTAGAGGGCTTGGAATACCATATTTCAGAGGTCAAAAGAGCTAGGATTAAAACCAAGAATTACCTACCCCAGCAAAAGTGAGTATAACCCTTCAGGGGGAAAAATGGAAATTCAATGAAATAACAGACTTTCAAACATTCTTGAGAAGCCAGAGCTAAATAGAAAAGTAGACTTTCAAATACAAGACTCAAGCATGAAAAGGTAAACAGGAAAGAGAAATCATAAGGTACTTATTGAAGTTGAACTGTTTACATTCTTACATGGAAAGATGATATTTGTAACTCATGAGACCTTTCTCATTATTAGGGTAGTTGGAGGAAATATATATAAACAGGGCACACAGGGTGAATTGAGTATGAAAGGTGATATCTAAAAAAGAAAATTAAGGGGAGAGGGAAATGTACTGGGAGAAGGAGAAAGGGAGAGGTAGAATGGGGTAAATTATCTCACATAAAAGACTAAAAGACGCAAGAAAAACTTGGAAGGGAAGAGGGGGAGGTGAGAGGGATTGAGTGAACTTAACTCTCATTGGATTTGGCTTAAGGGGGGAATGGCATACACACTCAATTGGATATGGAAATCTATCTTATCTTACAGGAAACTAGGGAAAAAGGGGATAAGAGAGGGAGGGGTGATAAAAGGGAGGACAGATTGTTGTAGGGAGTAATGAGAAGCAAACACTTTTGGGGAGGGACAGGATCAAAGGAGAGAACAGAATAAATGGTGGGTGGGATAGGGTGGAGGGAAATAGAGTTAGTCTTTCACAATATGACTATTATAGAAGTGTTTTGCATGACTACACATGTATAACCTGTATCAATTTGCTTGCCTTCTCAATGAAGGTGGATGGGTAGGGAGGAAGGGAGAGAATTTGGAACTCAAAGTTTTAAAAATAAATGTTAAAAATGGTTTTTAAATGCAACTGAGAAATAAGATACATAGGCAATGGGATATAGAAATTTATCTTACCCTACAGGAAAGGGGGGGATGATAGAAGAGAGGATAGAGTAAGGGAAGGGGTAATCAGAATGCACACTGTCATGGGATGGGGGGAAGGGAAAGATGGGGAGAAAATTTGGAACTCAAAATCTTGCAGAAGAGACTGTTGAAAACTAAAAATAAATAAATAAAATGGAAAAAAAGCTTTTGCTTTATAAGTAAAAGAATAATTTTTTCCATTATATTAAAAAAGTAAATGACATTATAGTCTTCCTTTTCTTCAGTTTCTGGTCACTTCTGAAGAATCTTGTTGATATGAAAATCACTTTGATGATTGCATATGTGGTTGGTTGCAGCTTTTCTCCAATAGAGAACTTGCTCTGATAGAGATTAAATGCGTATATTTTTCCCTAAATTATTTTGGGTCACATTGTTATTAAGTATAGGTATTAAACATAGGCCACCACACAAGAAAAGAGAATCTTTTTGTAGTTGTGAAACAGAAAATCATTACTTTCAAATACATTTTTCACCTTCTTCAGAGAACACGATATGCTACAAAAGATACAAGCTGTTCTTTTGGTCAAAGAATTGGTCATGGTTGTGAGCCAGAATAACACTGTGGAAGAGAGCGGGCCAGCCAGCTGTCAAACTATTACAAAATTGCTTAGAAACATTAGCCCTATCCCCATATGTTTACTTCAGGGAAGTTGTGAAATTCACATTTCCACCTTGGGAACAGACAGCAGGGGAAATAAATTACCCTGACTTTCAAATCATATGTGTTAAAGCAGTGGGTGTTACAAAAATATGGAATAGCTTTAAGAACAGATTCAATCCTCTATTCTTTTCAACTCTTAGTTGAATACACCTTATGTCAAAATGTCACTCCTGCTTTGTTACCACATGGGTTAAAAGCTCATTATAGTGAGACAGTAGCACAGGTATCAGCAAGGTCTCTTCTCACTGATTTTATTTCTGCATTGATGTGACCTAGTTATTGGCCACCAAAGGAGTTAAACTTCAGGAATAAGAGGTTTCCTAAAGTTGAGCCCAGGTTGGTGAAAATATCCTCCATGTGCAAACAATTCATCTACAACACTCCAGACCCCTCCTCAAAGCCAAATGGGAATCTGTGACTTCTGAGGTTTTTTTGGTGGTGGCATGGTTGTAGTGGTAGTGGGGTGTGTGTGTGTGTGTGTGTGTGTGTGTGTGTGTGTGTGTGTGCGCGCGCACGCGTGTGAGCATGCGTATGTATGTGTAGTTAATATTAAGAAGCACCTCCACAAAGTCTATTCCTCATCCTGACATGAAGGTGACGCTACGCTCTTGAAATCTATGCCAACAGAATGTAAGGTCTGGTACATTCTACCATGCTGAAAACACTACAAGAGTGATCCTGGCAACTGATTATCTGTTTCCTGAAAACAAGCCTAGGTAAGCATTGACATGTTCATCACTAGTAGACTGGCCAATTGATAAGGAACTATTTGATCATGGCAATCCAGGAAACAATAACAAAAATATAATATGACCCTGAGTCCTGTACAGACCTACTCCTGCCGTCATGAGGGCAGAGCAGTGGAAAATGAGGGAAGAGGGACTAAACCCTGCTCATTTTTTAGACTATCTATAAGCATTTGCTTGCTGCTGGTACTCTAAATGTGGGACCTTAGCTGTTTTCGCTTATTTGTCTGTTGTCATTGCACAATTATTCTGGTTCTGATTTTCTCTCTTGGCTTCACTTCTTACAATCATACATTTTGTTCTAATCTCACCTACCAAATTGGAAACTTTGTAAGGGCTGGAATCATAGCTTATGTTCACTTATGTGACCCTGGGAAAACCTCCTGGAGCCCTAGGAAATAATCTAAGAGTATAAATTGCAGAGCAATTTATTAGCTATTTGTTAGAAGTTTTCTCACTAGGATTTCCCTAAACGAATGAACTGGTCACACACACACACACACACACACACACACACACACACACACTCTCTCTCTCTCTCACTCCCTTCCCACAGAAAGATATATGTGTATGTACCTCTATCTATCCATCTATCTATCTATCTATCTATTGATCATCTTCTCTCTGTCTTTTTGTCTGTCTCTCCTATCTCACCAACTAGAGGAAATCATAACATATATTTTAACATATCTTATAAAATGATTGGTTCATAGTGATCACCCGGTAATTACTTGTTGGCAGAATGATAATAATTTCCTTGGATAGAAAATTATAATGAGGTGTGTTATCAAAATCTGCTTTCAACATCAGTCGTGTATGACTCTTTGTGATGCTTTTTGGGGGTTTTCTTGGCAAAGATACTGGAGTGGTTTGCCATTTCCTTCTCTAGCTCATTTTACAAATAGAGTTAAGCAACTTGTCCAGGATCACACAGCTAGTAAGCGTCTGAGGCTAAATTTAAATTTAGAAGTCTTCCAGACTCCAGGCCCAGTGCTCTATCCACTGCCTCACTTAGCTACCCAAAATGGTGATACACATTCTCCCTAATCCCATCACCTCATAGTACCAATAGTGCCAATAGCTCATAGTACCTATCAATCAAAATACTTAGGAAGGAGCTGAGAAAGCACCAACCCCATCTCCTCATTGTGCCTAACAAAACTGTCTTTCCTTTATAGGGAGAGTGTTTATTTCTGGTTATAAAAGCAGCTCACAGTTTGCATTCAGGCCCTGGCAGCCCCCAAGGCTGCTGATTTAGTGTACTGTGATAAACTCGTTTTTGTTTTAATTTCCCTAAGTTTGCTTTATAAATCAGTGTGAGGCTCGAGCAAAGATTTCTTCTAACAATCCTTTGCCAGTTCATTCAATAAATCTGCCTGAGCTAAAAAATAATTTCCAGTGCTTAATTTTTTCTTCACTAAAACTTGTCTTCTAGTTATCACTGCTCCTTCAGTGATATTTCTAGGGTTACAGGGAGGTATTATGGATTTCATTTGATTCAATATCATTTTTATCTAAAGGGAGGCAGGTCAGGCCTTGATTCATTAAGAATTAGACTCCTTTAAAAAAAGAAGCTCAGTATGAAACAATTAATTATACACAAATCATTATGATCTTGATGAGTATATAATGATCTTGATGAGTAAAAGGAAGAGTTGCTGTAATTGCACTTGAATACATAAGCTTAATTTCTCCAGTTATCCAGATGATATCCTTATTATGAATATCTTTATATGAATAGCTTTATGGATAGGGTTTTTTAAAACCATTTCTAGATTTAAATAAATCTCTATATTTATTATCCCAACACTTGTATTTAAATATTTCAATTCATTTATCTGTATCCTCATCAATGTGAGGGTTCCCTTTAGTGGTGCAAATTAAAGTATATCCTTGCCTTTGCATCTGGTGATTCTTATCCAGTTATCCCATACATCTTACAGGAAGGATACACCCAGTGTGCTGAAGGGCTTGTTCTAGGTCATTTGACGTTGCTTGCATACAAACTCTGCACTCAGACTCTCTGTCTCCTTCTTGCTACATTGAATTCAGGGCTCAGTTCAATAAACATTATTGAGAGGCCCATCCTCCTTCTGATCATACATTTCATAGATGACATCAGTACCACTACTTGTAGACACTATGCTGTAGCCAACTGAACTCATTATATTTGTCTTGCTTTTCCTTTTAGGTCAACTATAATTTTGATTGTTTGGAGATGGTGCTATTTCATGATTCATAGTCCTGTAGCACCCCTTAAAGAATGTTGGTGCTAAAAAAGAGAGAATTTTGTGTCTGACACAAAACAGAAGGAAAAATAGGAAAGATTTTTGCAAAAGGTCCTTTAAAATACAATCATTTGAATGGATACCCTCTAGGAAAATGTTCATTCATCAAAAAGGTGGTTATTAATTAGGACAGATTTTCAGATGAGAACCTAAGGTTTCTGTGTTAAAGTATAAATGTGGGATTTTAAGAATTTTCAAATTCTCAAAAATAATTGAATCCTATTAACAACCATATAAAACCATTAGCTTTGATGGTTTCCAAACCATGAATAATAATGGAAATGTAAATTAAAATAGCTCTGAGCTTTACCTCACACCCACCAAACTGGCAAAGATGACAAAAGATAGAAATAGTGTTGTAAGGGCTAAAGAAAGATTGGCTTTCTTTTTTTTTTCTTTTTCTTTTTCTTTTTAATTTTTTTTTTCCATATGCTTTTGAGTTGAAAATTTTTTCTCCCTTTTTCTCCCCCCTCCTCCCCAAGACGGCATACAATCTGACATAGGCTTTACATTTACATACCCATTAAACATATTTTCACATTAGTGAAGTTGTAAGTAAAAATTAAAACCAATAGGAGGAACCATCAGAAAGATGAAACAAAACTCAACTGAAGGTAAAAATAAGTGAGAGCGATTCGGCTTCCATAGTTCTTTCTCTGGATGTGGACAGCATTTTCCATCCCAAGGCCTCTGGAGATGTCTTAGATCCTCGTAATGCTGACAAGGGTTAAGTTTAACATTCTTAGTCATTGCATAACGTGGCTGCTATTGTATACAAAGTCCTCTTGGTTCTGCTCACTTCACTCAGCATCAGACCATATAAGTCTTCCCAGATTTTTCTGAAGTCAGCCTGTTCATCATTTCTTATAGAACAATAGTATTCCATTACATTCATATACCACAACTTGCTCAGCCATTCCCCAATTGATGGGCATCCTCTCAATTTCCAATTCTTTGCCACCACAAAAAGAGCTGCTATGAATATTTTTGTACATGTGGGTCCTTTTCCCATTTGTTTGATCTCTTTGGGATATAGCCCTAGAAGTGCTGTTGCTGGATCAAAGGGTATGCACATTTTTGTAGCCCTTTGGGCATAGTTCCAAATTGTTCTCCAGAATGGTTGGATCATTTCACAACTCCACCAACAACGTATTAGCGTTCCAATTTTCCCACATCCTCTCCAACATTTATCATTTTCCTGTTTTGTCATGTTGGCCAATCTGATAGGTGTGATGTGGTACCTCAGAGTTGTTTTGATTTGCATTTCTCTAATCAATAATGATTTAGAGCATTTTTTCATATGACTATAGATGGCTTTAATTTCTTCATCTGAGAACTGCCTGTTCATATCCTTTGACCATTTGTCAATTGGGGAATGGCTTGTGAAGATTGGCTTTCTTTATATACTGTTGGTGGAGCTGTGAATTAGTCCAACTCATCTGGAAAGAAATTTAAAATTATGTTTTAAAAGTGACTAAAGTGTTCGTATACTTTGACTCATAGAGCCTATGTATGCTCCTGAAAAGGTTGGCAGAAAAGATACATATATCTAAATTTTTATTGCCCTACTTTTTTGTGATACTAAAGAACTGGGAAATAAGCAAGTGCTTGTTGTTTGGGAAATGATCAAATAAACAGTGGTACGTGAATGTAATGTACTGATGGGGATAGGATCTGAACCCCTAAAAGGAAAAGACCATGTCTTGGGGATCTAGACCCCAAAAAAGAAAAAGCCTTGGACTTTCCCTCCTGGCCAAATCCCTGAGTTTGCCTGAGGCTATCAACTGGCCTTTCATTATTGCCTAAACGCAATCTTCCGATTCTCTGTTACCCTTAACCTAGCGCAGCCTTCCGTTGTCTTACCTCCCTATGGCCCCTCACCTTAATCCTATCTATGCTCCATTTTCCCTTAGTAAGGCCACTTGGTCCAGGTCCCTGGCCTTCTGTTACCTCACAATCACCCCAACTTGCTGGCGTCTCCCATCAAGATCCTACTTAGACCCCTCCTCCAGTCACCCCAGACTACTCGGCCACTCCTAGATCCCTCCCACAGTCTTTCTGTATATAAGGTCCATCTGGCCTCTTTTAAGGTGCTCAGATTCTTAACATCTGACCCGCTTGCATTAGCCATACAAATGCTTAGATTCCTTAAGAGTCTGGACAATATAGCAGATTCTTTAAATCTCACCCACCTGAGATCAATGTTTTAATAAACCTTGTCTTTGTCTGAAAGAAGGTTTGGGTCGAATTCATTAGGGCAGGACCTAATGTCATTGCACCATTACCGTGCAGTAAGAAAATACAAATATGAAGAATCAATTACACAAACAACAAGCATATACGAAGCAACTAGTATGTAGCTACCTAGTATACATACATACATAAATACATACATACATACATACATACATACATACATATGTATATGACGCTGTGTTAACTCCAGGTATTGGAGTCACTTAGACAAAAATGTTCTTTGTTCTAAACTCCTTGCTCTAAAGGAGTTTACATTCTATCAGCAAAGGCAATAACATATAAAAGAAAATATATACAGGATATATCCAAAATAAATACAACGTATTTGAGAGGGAGGGCAGGAGCTGCTGGGCTATCAGGAAAAACTTAATGTAGGAAGTGTTACTTGAGCTGAGTGGTGATTCTTAGAGGCAAGGGA